AAATGTGTTATACACATAGAAAAATGGAATTTGAGGCTGAGGGGTGAGAAAACATTGTTCCAGGACATTTAATGCACAATTAATATGGGACACAGTCTTGGCTTATGAAAACCCCTAGTCAATACAATTTAATGAGTCTCCTTCACAGCATTCTATGAAAAGGAGTTTGATCTTGCACACTGCTAAACCCAATGAGAACTGGCAGTACAGAGCATATATTTGGCAGAAACTCCTTTGCTCAAATACTCATGCATTCCTTCTCCCTCTGTGAACAAGTGTTCTGAATATTTATTGTGCCTAGTGAAGAGTTATTTTAATTCAAACACTAGCAGCCTCTTTAAGACCACTGGTTAGTCAAATAAGAGATCACATTTTTATATCTAAGTTACAAATAAAGCTACCAGCAAGTAGATACCCTTTGTTGGAGTTTTGTTAGAATAGTGACTCCCCCAAACATCCCTAGAGCATTAGCTAAAGCAGGGCTCTGAGAGGGGAGAATATGGGGGGTATTGCTGAACTCTGAACCATCATTTAAAAATAAAAATAAAACTTCCTACTATTGTAAAGGATTGGTTTTAGAAATAAGGTGAATAACATCTGTTTTGCTTCTTGTCCTCTCTCTTGCGTGTCAATAAGACCTTGTGCTTACCTATGGATTCAACCAGAACATCCTTAAGGAACTTCCTCCTGAAGAGCTTACCACTTGTAAAGAGCAATGGAGAGGTTGACATGAGATGGGGAGTCTGCATACCAGTGTCTAAGTCATTGTGTGTGTCTAGCTACTACATTGGCCACAAGGGCACAAGATGCAGATTGAGTCATATCCATTATAGATCTGTGATGTAGGCAGCTGGGTGGTGTAGCTTAAGTAGTATCTGACAGGTATGCCTGATCAAGTTTTCAAGCATAGTGTAATATATAATTTTTCTGTGCATTCTCAAAGGAATGGTAGGATCCTTGCTAAATGTTATGCCTTTGGCATCCCATCAGAATTACTGTGGAAGAATTTTAAAGCCATGTAATCAGAAGGTGAAATTGCATCATTGTAATCATTGTAATTCTTGAGCTGAGTGCTCATGCAAACAGAATTCCCACTCACTCCCCTACTGCAGGCAGCTATATCCCCCCCCCAAAAAAACCTCTTCCCTTGAGTAACAGCTACCTTGAATATGGGACGAAGGGCGGCAGTGGGAGAGAATTGGGGGAAATTGGTTAGAGGGAGTTTGCAGGAGTGAAATGTTTACTTGAAAAGCTGGATACAAAATGCTAAACAATCAATAACAAAAATTTACAATGTAAATATAAATAATAAGGAACATAAAGTCTAGTTGGATCTAGAGATACAGGAGTGAAACAAATTCTGCAGTGGTGCTGTTCCATTAATTAACCACTAGTGGAAACCACTGTGCACGACCTTGGCAAGAGACTGTGTATATCTTTGAATTTCATTTCTCTTTGGTCATGCAATAATTTTGTGCTGTCAGCAAAATCCCTGCATGCAAAAAAGACTTCCACTCATGGAAGCATGCCTCTGACTGCAAAAGAACAAGTCAAGAAACCAACTCTAAAAAAAAGTCTGCTATGCCAAGAAATTTTGTACCAGAGAGAAAAATAGATAAACAGAAAATTCCAAGCAAACATATTTCATTGCCACAACCAAGAATACCCAGTAGTTTGTAGGAAGGCTTGATCACTAACATCAAATGCAACCTGTTATAAGATTACCATTAATCCTTTGGAAACTATCAAATGAGCATGAAAAAGATAAAAGGATGATACATAAATCAAGCTGCTGGATCTCTTCTGTACCAATCGAAGTAATAAGTAGTCATCAATTACAGGGCCTCTGAGTTCACCGTGTTCTTGGGGTAAGTTGCTGAGTTAGCACAAAATGCACACCACTTAAAGGAAGTTGAGCCAGAACTGTTTCAGATAGTGCAATATAAGTGTTAACAAGTCTTATTTTTCCCACGGAAGGAAGTCTTTGTTACAGAGAACCTCAAATGAACTTATTTTCAGAAATTGTTAACAAGGCACGCATCCACATTAGATGCTACAGTTCTCTTAAAAATAAAAGTTGTTAGCAAGACACTTTAGTTACAAGTTGCTAGTCAGAATTGTAATTAAGAAACAAAAGGGCTTAATTTGTTTTGGTCCTACATCACTGCAAGGTGGGAACACTAGAATTAAAGAAAATGAAACTGATGGTGAATAAAATATTGGTGAAAACAGAAACCTTTCATTATTGAGATTCTTTCATTTTTAAATTATTTCATTTAGGTGGGTGTACAAAATACAGTATTCCCTAAAGAAGACATTAAGAAAATAGTGTTAAGTAAAACAATCAAACTCTCCCACATGTTGCTTTTCTTTCCATCCCACATCTCTTACTATGCTTCACTACCTATGCATTGTCATGCTACTCTTTCATCTCCCTGTGCATGAAAATGCACACATTTAGCTCAAAAGTAGTGTACATTCACATACATCTTAACCAAAATAAGAGCAGGAACTTCCTTGAAAATGGGGAAATATGAGAGAAGAATAAATAAAATGTCTTTTGAATGTGTTACCTGACTGTTGAAAACTTTTATTTGGAAGGTGGGTTAAATGCAAGGAATAGTCTTATTATAACAGCAACTATTTTTCTTCTCAGTCTTGCCATAAATAAACTTCTGCATAATATCCAAACATACTGAGTCTCTTTTTAGACATTAAAACTGGGTACAATGAGCAAGTAAGGTAAGGTAAAAAGGTAAAGTACCCCTGGTCCAGTCAAAGGCAACTATAGGGTGTGGCACTCATCTTACTTCAGGCCGAGGGAGCCGGCATTTGTCCACAGACAGCTTTCCGGGTCATGTGGCCAACATGACTAAACCGCTTCTTGCACAATGGGACACCATGAAGCCAGAGCACACAGAAATGTTGTTTACCAATGAACAAGTAGAGTGGGTGTGGCACCATGAAAGCAGGCTCTATTTCAACCTACACATTATTTTTAAACTCATATTGATTCATTTACTTACTATGAGAGGGATACCAATACTCAAACCTATATGCAGACATTATATTGAAACCCTGAAACTACTGTACAGGTGATAGATTACGCTGTTATGAGAAAACTGGTGGGCAATATTAATAAATTATTATTCTTTTCCCATTTTAATTTTGTACTCTGGCCTATGTGTTTTAAATGGTTTTATGAATTTGGATTTTAAAATATTTTAAACTGCTTTGTGAAAGATTTCCTTAAAAAGTAGACTATGAATCCCTGAAATAATATTGTATTTATTCTAGAAATATAAAATATGCAAGTGTCCAAAGCTATGTAATTTTTTAAATAATGTAACTATCATTTCTATTTCCAACCGTAATTTCTAACTATATTAAGTAGCCACCAGAATTCATGTGTCCTGGGAACTCTCAGCATGTAGCTAGAACTCCAAAAAGTAGTAGTAAAATTTATAATTTCATAGGGCTCATAAATTGATTTTAGTCATTTTTACATTAATCATTCACTAAAGGTGACAGTATGCTTATTTAGTTAGATAGCTAATGCTTCCCTGAAGAATAAAAGCTGCTTTAATATATCACTTTGCCATTCAGCAACTAGTGAGAGCAAAAGAACATTTTGTCAACTTCAGGAAATAAGAAAACTATTAAGAATTATTTAAAGCTTCATAAAACACCAAGAAAATGTGCAACTGTCAATAAGGGTAGCCATAAATCTTTCACTTGAATATTCTCACAATGTATTTAGCTTTAGCTTATCAAATGTGCACGTCCACATAACCAGTGTTACATTTTAAATTGCCAAAAGGCCAGGAAAGCTCATTAACAAATTAACACCTTCAGTGATTAAAGGGTCCTGTAAATTAACAGATCGACTTAACTGCCACATACGAAATATGTCAGTTAAAATTCTGTGCCTTTTCAATGGATTCAAGATCTATCCTTGCATGAGTATTTTGAACTTTCCATTATAAATGCAGAAGTGGGTGCGATTCCGCACATCCTATTATAATGGGCAGATGAGAAGACTGCATTCGTTTTCAAGGTTACACAAAAATGTTTCACTGTAATCTGAAACTGAGCAAGTGAAGAAGGAACACCCCTTGATAAGATCTAGTAATTGGCTCATCCCACTGAAAAGGACATCAGAATGGTACCTGGAATATACCTGAAGCTTGTGTATATCTTTACACCGTAATTCAGAGTTGACCATTAAACAAGCCAGTTTCATAACCCATGACTTGAAGTTGGTTTGTTTAGAAACTAACCTAGCTGCTAGGTCCTAGCCGCTAGGATTCCTAATTCAGGCGTAACATTAAGTTAAGATTCTTTGCAACTGAAAGTAAAATTAACAGAAGTCCTGCTCTCAGCCACAAAAGAAGAGAATGGGAGCAAGTAGAATGGGAGTTGAGCACTTTCCTGTGGCTCATCCACACTGTGCTAAACATGTACCCACTGCCTCTGGAGCTTGTGATTCTATTTATCATCAAATCTAAATATGCCTAAGAAATGTTCTCCATATTTTCATGCTAACTCACTCAGCCAACATGTCAACGCAATAGTGCAAATAGTTCAGCAAACTGTAGATCAGAGAGGGGTGGGAACTGGGGACATCCTTGCAATTCAAAAAAAGCTTACACAGCAACAACCCAAAGGTTCTTTATGAGAGAACATGACAGGTGCATAGAGAGAAGAAGAAACTCTGTCCCATCAAATGTCCTAGCCAATTAGCAGAGTTTGTTTTTACTTTGTACTAACTTCTGAAGTGCAGCAAAATGGAAAATTCAGTACGAAAGTGGAGATATTGTACAATCTGGTATAAATGGAATTCATTAGTATAGCAGCTAAAGTAGCACACTTATGGATTACTCCCTAAATGTCAAATTTAATGTTTAGTATTTTTTTAAAAAAAATAATCCATCAAACTATGAAATAATTTCCTGATATTCAATTATGAAAATACTGGAAACAGTTTTAAAGGCACTTACCTGTACACTGCCCACCGTTTGTTGGATCTCCATAATATCCTGGCATACATGTTTCGCACTGTTTTCCTGTAGTTAGGTTTTTGCACTGATCACAAACATTACCATTAACACAGGTGCTATGTCCATTGCACTGGCAAGCTGCAATTAAAAAAAGACAGAACTAGTTTTTAGCAGAGAATGAAAAAGTAGAACAAAATAGTAATTCTATCAGGAGAGGGAATAAATGTGTCTCTGTTAATTCTCCTTGACCTCTCAGTGGCTTTCGCTACCATCAACTATGGTATCCTTCTGGAGCGGCTGTCCGAGTTAGGGGTGGGTGGCACTGCTCTGTGGTAGTTCCGGACCTACTTGGATGAATGTTTCCAGACAGTGTTGCTTGGGGAGTGTTCTTCAGCCCCATGCAGCCTTCAATATTGAGTTTCTCAGGGTTTGATTTTATATCCCATATTGTTTAGCATCTACATGAAACTGCTAAGTGCTGTTATCCAGCGGTTTGTAGTATGTTGCTGACAATATGCTGATGACACACAGATCTACTTCTCCTTTACATCTACAGGTGAGGCAGTGGATGTGCTGGGCCATTGTCTTGCCTAGGTAATGGCCTAGATGAGAGCCAAGAAACTGAAGCTCACTCTAGATAAGACTGAGGTACTGCTAGTGGATGGTTCCCTAGACTGGATGGATGGGAGGTTGCTTGCTGTTGATAGAGTTACACTTCCTCCAAAAAAGTGGGTACACAGATTGGGGGTACTTCTGGATCCCTTGTTGTCACTGGCTGTCATTTGAGGCTCAGGTGGTCTCAGTAGTGTGGAATACCTTCCATCTGCTTTAGCCGGTGGCCCAGCTACATGGCTATCTGGACAGGGACAGAAAACTACTATACTCTGAGATCTACAGATCAAGGACAGTATACAAATTAAACAAAATAATAATAATTCCTCACAAAAATGATAACAGAATAATAACAGAATATTGTGCTTAGTACTTTAGAAATAATGGAATGTTTTAGTGAAATTAACAATTTGAAACTAGCTAGCAGAGGACTATAAATAAAATACTGCAAGTGATGTCATTGCTTGCAGTTCATTTATTGAATAAAATTACCAGTTAATGAATAAAAGAAGAAAGCAATTTTTCCTGCACCCCTCGGAAGAATGAAGCACAAGACTCCAGGAGTTGGTCTAGTTTGATGTCAGAAAGCAAGGATAGAGTGTAGGATTAGCTATTTAACACACTCCGTTTATAGTTTTCAGTGCTACTGCCACCATCCCAAGTGACCACTGCTTCAGTTTTAGTCTTAGTTTAACCCCTTTATCATGTCTAGGATCTTTATTCCATTTTACCATATACTGTAAAGCATTCTCTACAGCACCATTAATCAAGTGTCCAACTTCATACTGCTTAATCCAAGAGTGTCATGCTAGGAGAGAAAGCACGGCTCTGATCCTAGAACCTTCAATAATACACTTGAATATTATATACTTCATTTTTCCATTCAGTTACAGGAACCATATACTGAAGTACTAATGTACTCAGCTGCACAACTGTGATGAAAACAGTTTCTCCCTGCTGTTTTTACATTGGCCACACTAGACAGCAGCTATGTGTTAAATGAGTGAACAGAAAAAGTTTTCTTCCCACAATCCAGTGCCTTAAGTGCCTTTTTCACTACACTGCATGTTTCACCTATTAAACAGATTATGCTTCAGTGCTTGTACAATAATCAGAGGTTAATAAGGGATTAGTCTCATTCGTTTTTTATGAGCAGATGTTACATTCTTTTCTTCACGGAGCACTGCTAAATTGTTTTGATTCGGCATCCATTGTTTCTCTGTTATTGAATTATTTCTTGTAACACTGATTAACTAAAGATTGCTGTGTAATTTAATAAACCTGATGATGGTCTCAAATTTAGGAATAGTTAACGTCACTTATTAGCTTTGATATTTATCTGGTCTGTTACAAATGTCACAGTGCTAAATTAAACCAACTGATCAGCAATCAATTCATTATTTGGAACAGTATTACTAGGACTGTGCTGAATGTTCATGAGAGTGTACCTGGGCTAAAGAGAAAAAAGAAAAAGAGTCTTCATCAGGATGCCCAAGATCCTCCCTAGACACCAACCACACAAGCATGCCTTTGTTTCTCTTTGCTGCTCCACTTGGCATTGGTGATTTAGTGTCTTTCTTCCTATTCTTTTTTTTAAAACCCTACTTGCTGCCTATATCATGCCCAATAGCCAAGATTATATGATGACCATGCAACACCATTGAGTCTATTAGGTCTGGATACTTGAATTGTCTTGTGATGTCAACCTAATAGCAAGAAACATTGTATTGCCACTGTGTTCTGAATGGGTATCAGGGAAGAGCATGGCTGTTATTCTATGGGCATAATGGTTTGCAGATGGTTCTCTTAAAGTTACCTAACACTGGGGGCATTTTTCACAAAAGACAAAAATGCTCATGGAAAGTGCCTCCCCCATCTCAGCTCTGCCCTAATTGTCCCAACAGTTACTAATATAGTCTTTCTGCTTTGATAACTTAGTAAGAGAGCATGCAGAGAAGGGCAAACATGTAGCTTGAGATTCAGACAGTTGTGACCTGTAACTGTGTTCAAGGGAAATTCTTAAACCCAACTTGTTCATATAAGCCTTTGAAAATTGATTATAAAAGTATAGTGGTTTTGATTCATTTTTATTGTGAGTTTTTGTGTTCTGCATATCTCACTGGATGCTTGAATAAGGAGTTAGATTTATAAAATTCTAAAAAAAATAAAAATACACTTAAAGATAGGGATAAAAGCCTATATTGAGTCGTCTATATTTCTTCCTTGCAGCAGAACAGCAAATCTCTTCAGGATTTTAACTGCACTGAAATTTGGTTTTTAAAACTTACTGGTAAAATGAGAAGAAATTGCAAACCCATGATGCTTAATCACTTGAGTCAGGAGTGGTGTTGACTGTAAATGCATCAAGATGTGAAGTTCCAGAACCTCTATTTATTCTGTAATGAAAAACTGCCTTTGTATCTAGCTGAGGTATCTGTGATCTATTAATCATGGATTAGAACCAAATTAGAATAGCTGAATAAGTTTAAGGGTTCCACATAAATCTGCTCTAGAGTTCAACTACTTTTCCCTTCTGCCCTTGACTTTACTTCTTCCACCTACTTGCTTCTTTCCTCTGCTTCCATTTATTTTAATATCCAGAAACTGGCAGAAGGGGTGTGCATATATATCTCCTACCCAGCACAACAGTTCTTTAATTTAATTGCATCTAGGTAACAATAATAAATAGGAGATCCTACCTGGGCACTGGATAAAAGACCAATCATAATTTTTCTCTTTGGGACAAAGATTGTTGTCAAGAACCATCTCAGTAGAATGTATCCCATTCAACTTCATTGGCCCCCTTGAAGACCCTTCCACACAATGGCCTTTGCCTGTGTTGCTGGGATCATTGCACCATCCACATCCTGGGTGTTCCAAACATTGTCCACACGTTCTCAATCCAGAGCAGTTTTGAGCTATAATACACAGGTTATAATCAACAGTCTTTAAAAGCAGAGTATCTGTGAGAGGTCTCTAGTACAGTTAATGTTCTGAAAACGGCTGAAAGTAATTCAACTTTTCTGCCAGCCTTTTATACTGCTTTCATGCCAATTATTCTGAAGAAAAGCATACATTACTATAGCTATAAAGGTGATAAAATACTGAAGATATAATATCACAAGCAAAAGTTGTTTCATCCCTCTGAAACAGATGTCCACAACAAGGTATGCAATGTCCTGTTTAAGAGGTATATACCCCCACCTTTCTGCACATATATAATTAAGGCATTTAACAAACTAACTCCACATCTAAATTTACCTAAACTTCAAGTGCAGATCAACAGTTTTATAAACAATAAAAACCAGCACATCCAAATTCAATAGTATTAAAAACATGGAAATACATAGTGGTTCCTAAGGATACAATCCTACAACCCATGGGGGTTATTTGGAAGACATAAGATAGTGTGTACTTGACTTTCTATAGCCTGTAGAGAGGAAGTCTTCTACCAAAGGTCCTCCTTGGACAATGGTGCAGCTCTCCATTACTATGACTGCCCTACAGGTAGTAGTCCATGACCCAAAATGGGGTTGTTTGGGAACATACCAGAGTATGACAAGGTGTCCAAGAATCTTCAGAAACCTGGGCTGCCACACTCTTTTCTCCAGCCAACATATTTCCTGCCCCACAAGCACAGCCAAAAGCTACTCAATTCAGTAGCTGTTGTGGTTCATCCCTTCCCCTTAAGAGTTCCGAAGAGTTTTGTTTCTTCTAAAGAATTTGTTTGGCTGATTAAATATTTTCCCTAGTAGTTTGAGAGTGATTCCCAATTTAGTTCCAAATGGTGAGATATATCGGAGATAACACAATGTCTTTTTACTAGACCAAGTCCTCTCTCTCAAAGCACTTATGTGTGCCTTCTGGGATCTTGTTAGAATCTTCAGCTCTCATTTTACAAAACAATACCAGAAACAACTGTGTGCTCAAAAGTTTCTACTTTCCAGAGTTCATGTAATAAAAATAAGGTTGGTAATCTGTCAAGTCCCTTGTTTTTCAAACACACTTCACCATTTCAGGCTGCAATTCTAAACTCAACAGGATTTAATTCTGAGCAAACTTGCATAGGCTTGTTCTGTAAAGGAGTGACATCATTTTAAAGCTTGTACAGCAGAATCATAAACAAATTTACTCCAAGTTCAGTCTCGCTGTGTTCATAGAATTACAGTCTTCAAGAGATGAATTTTGAGAGAATACCCTGGATTGCACATATCATTCAGTAAAATCTTTTTGCTATTGGTCTTTATGGGTTAAAGGTACAGTGGTACCTCAGTTTTCGACCATCTTGGAAGTCGAATGTTTTGGTTTTTCAACACCCAAAACCCGGAAGTAAATGCTTCCGTTTTCGAACGTGCCTCGGACGTCAAATGGCTTCCACTGAGTTTTTTTCAATTTTCTCTATTGAATTTGCAGACCACCCTTTGTGCCTCAGTTTTCGAACATTTCGGAAGGCAAACGGTCTTCCGGAACGGACTTCCGGAACGGATTACTTTCAAAAACTAAGGTACCACTGTAATGTGTTCACAATCCTTTTCATTGTGGGAAGTTTCACACATACGTGAGCTATCTCTGTTTCATATATTGTTTCAAACTATGCCCAACATTTTAAGTCATGTACTTATCATTTAAATAAGCACAAACAATCTTCTGTTATAAACTTATGGATGACAACTCCTTTCTCCCTACTATACATAGGGGAAAGGCTCAGGCAAGCTTTATTGTCTCTAGCTAGAATTCCTGACAAACAGAAAGCCAGGAATAACAGAGCACACACAAATATAATGAGCCATATCTGGAAACAGAGGATGCTCTTGATAAGCAGGGAATCACCTAAAATGGTGTGCCATGACATAACCGGGGAATGGGGCAACAGCGCAGTCAGTGTATATGGGCTATTTGGCTTTGCAAGGCTTCTCTGACCTGCACAATGGGCAGCAGACCTGATACTTAGTTAATAACATACAGTAATTTACATCCCATACCTTCAACATAACTTCATGTGCCCAGGGCAGCTAATAAAGTAACAAGATATAAAAAGTGCAACACAAATACGTTTTTTAAATAAAATAAATAATGCTTGCATTTTCAGTTCTTAAAACAGAAACATGTTTTGCCTAGTGCCTAAATGAAATGGAGAAGAAAGTCCAAGCAGGCTTCCTTGAGGATAGCATTCCAAATAGGTAGGGAGCGAGCCACTAGTCACCAACAAGATGTTAAACTTAAACTGATTTTTTTTTTTAGCAAGTTTGAGTAGTAGCTGTTTTTGTGCACAGGGGACACTCACTTTCTAGATCAATGTGCATGTTTCAGAGCCCCTCGGCGTCTGCCACAGAACACCATAATGCTACAAAGGATTCAGAAACGTATTTTAGGACCACTGGGGACTGGCCAAGCCTGTTGGCACTAGCCATCGTACCACATTAGGACCCAATCACTTTTGGTACACTCATCAGGGGGGAAAACAGTATACAATTTTTGCAAAACCGCATTCTATCAATGGGGAGGAAATAAATTACATCCTAAAGAGGGGAAATATTCTCAGAACAAATTGGCATGTAAAAAATCAATCATCACTACAACATGGAGCATGAATTAATAGCAGCTGACAATATAGTGAAACAACACCCCCCCCAAAAAAAAAAGAATCAAAGTGCAATTAAAGCTTCTATGTTGTGGGTAATGTGCACCACACTAAAGACTGATTAGGATGTTTATTTTCAGTACCAATTCTAAAAGATGCAAAGAAGGAAGAAAGAGAAGGAACCTGACCTATGCTTTTAGCGTCATTTGAAGGGTCACATAGATTTGAGCAAAAATATCCCACTGACCACTAGAAGATACTCAACAGGATACATGTGTGTCCCCACACTTCAACTTTAACTGAACTAGGAGAAATATACCCATTAAGTTACTCATATTTGTCTGTTGCAACATGATGATTTTCTTCTTTATTAATGTAAATCATTTTAAGAATCAAGGGAAGCCTATCCTTCCATGTCTAGCATGGGTTCTGTTAGTTGACACATGTATGAATTTCAGTATTGTGCTTCACACTTGCCAAGAACATTTAGGTTCTCTGACGATCTCCGTTAATGCTCTAAGTCAGTGGTGTCCAAACTTTTTTCAAAGGGCCAGATTTGATGAAGTGAACATGTTGAGCTTTTTTTAGGATTTTACCCCAAATTTGTTGCGCTTTCTTAAGGATTGAAGTCATCGTTGACAAACTTATTCCTTGGGGGGGGGGATTTCCCCCTGAAAGTTGTTGCTCACTGAGGGTTAAATAAGCAGGCAAGAAACCCGAAGGCAGGCAGGTGGGAGAGTGAGCCGCACGGGAGAGCAAGCTGAACACTGGGCATACAGCGGCCACGATAGAGAGCCGCACGCAGGGCGCCTACACAAGCCGGCCAGCGGCCAGAAAACAGAACAGGGCACATGTGCAAGCCAGCTGGTGGGAGGTTCCAAGGGTCGATGCTGGAGAGCTGCAGCTCTCCATTGATGCATTGGCTCCTGGGCAGAACAAGCTGAGCAGCAGGTGCTCGGGGGCCGCAACAGATTCATTTCTCAGAATTGCTTGGGGGGCTGGATTAAATCAACCAGGGGGCCGGATTTGGCCCCCAGGCCGGACTTTGGACATGCCTGGTCTAAGTCAGTACTAGTAAGAAAGCAGGCTCAGACAGAATTTGCCTACAAAACAATCACCTGTGCAACATTAATTTCCAATTTATTAAATGGCCGTATGAGCTTCCACATATCAGACTTTAGTTATGACTTTGATGAAGGGGGATACATAGAATAAAACAAAAGTGAGTTAAAGAATCTTCTACTAATGGCAATGTAAAGGAGAAGAGCAATTGGAAAGCCTTGGTCATGAAGAACCTTTTGGAACTTAATGCAGACTGTTACCATTAATAATTCTGGCTGGTGCAGCTTATGCCAAAGCATAACCTGTTAAGAAATATGATAGCGTTATGTATTTTATCTCAAACACCATCATAAACCTCACTGTCTTGGATCATACACCCTTCAGAGCAGATAAGAGGATGTGGGGGTCTGAAAAAGGAAGGAAAGGAAGATGGCAGTCCCATTTGTGCAAATGGACATCCACTGTGCAAGTGGAATGCCCCAACTAGATAACACCCTGTTTTATACTTTTCATAAAATTGACCTGTTTGAAATAAATCTGGGCTATAGCCATCATGCCCTGTTGAGCTTCCCATGGACATTTTACAAGAAGAGTTTCAAGACTAGATAGGTCTTCTGTCTCATCCAGCGGAGCTCCTTTAACGATCTTATGAATTCTTAATGAACTCAGTATTTTATATATTACCATTTTTAGATTATGTAAATGGTTTTTCAATGAATATTTTAGACTATGAATAACATATGTAATTTTATATTAGGTAACATGGCTAGTATAACTGATATTATGGTTAATACAATTTGTATTGCATATAATACATGCTATTCTTGTATTTAGACTGTTGTAACATAGTTTTGATGCACTATGGGCACAATGGTTTTATGGAAAATGCAATACACTGTATATAAACAAACCAACTATTCTACATGTGGGCCAAAATGGTGGCATTTATATAAACCTCTGCTTCTACTTAAGTTTCTTACATTTATGATTAAAGGTTCTCTCTGGACTACCTTCTATCAGTCTGTTATTTTTTAGATCAGAAATGATTTCATAATAATAGTACTAGCATACGAGCCATTTGCAGTTACAGATTTAAGAAAGTTTCTTCGTTCTTATTATAGCACATTTTTAATAGAAAATATTTCTATTAAAACATATCACTCTTGTTGACCCTGGATTTATACTACCATTATTGACATTAAGAGAACACAATGCCCTCCAGAACGGCAGGGATGCTAAACCATAGTGCAGAAACAATAAACAGTAGAATGGTAA